GTTTGACAAGACAGTGGTGAACTTGATGCTGAATTGGCCGTGAGGTTTGGCCCCAGAACTCCTCATCAAGTGTTCTAGAAAATGGTGAGAAAGGCATAGAGAGCGCGATTGGGCCAACGGATACATTCATTTCCCTCGATTCCTGCCAAATTCTGTGTTTTCTGAGAAATTAGGACTAAGGAAACTGAAAGGAAGGTGAATAAGAAATCAAGAGCCAATGAAGGACTGGGAACCCACGGACTTACCCATTTCTCAGGAATTCTCTCTACCTGAAGCCTCTGGCAGGACACATGGGTGGAGCCAAGAATGGAGGTGCAGGGCAAGGCTCTGCTACAAGGCAGCTCAGGTTCAGAGATAGCTGTGGGAAGAGCAACCTGGCTCTGAGGAGAGCAGCGTGGGAAAGAGACATGGGCTGGTGGAGGGCCTTTGACTCCACTGGCCCACAAACGCTGTCTCCAAGTTGGGCTGGAAACCGTACTTGTGGACAGAGCCCACACTCTGGCATGTCTGGTCACCACAATTCCTCCACTGTCACCAGAAAAGTGACCCAGTTCTTGGCTATGAGTGAGGAAAACCATGTCCTTTAAAGCACTGGATGTCATGACCCTGATATTCAAGTACCTTCTGTCTCTGGAAGCCATAGCAGGGCAAGGTGGACGGGGACAAGCCAGTTGTAACTTTTTCTCTTAGATTATGGCCGACTTACAGATCAGTTAGGCTGCTCTGAATACCTGCTGAGCTGTGGGTAACAGTGGCCAGCACAAAGGCCATCCTGCTAGGGAGCCCCTCAGACATCAAGGATGCCCTGACTGCTCTGCAGGAGGGGACAGCCACTGGCTGGGACACCTATGGGCCAGAGAAGTCTTTGCATAGCTCCCCGTCTTTACCTGGAACCCTGTACAGACATTAAAAACAAAGCCTTTGTTTTTTGGTTTTTTTTTTTTATTCTTGCACTTAAAAAGTTATCTGAAGAGTAACACGAGAAATGGGAGTGGACTGAGCATGGCACTGACGTCAAGGAGAGGTTCATATGCTTATGTTTATCCTGGTTATAAATTGTCTTTTTATGATGTTGAAAGCATGTTGAAATTAGGTCATTTTAAAAGAATTTATTAAAAAGTATTGCAAATGCAGGCCACGGTGGAAGTAAATGGCTCTTTGCCTGAGAGATGTAGGATGGATTTGTTTAATTTTGATGGTTCTTTGCGATCACGTGCTGGCTCCCCTGACTCTGGCCCTCAGTCTCGTGCTCTGGGCAGGTTCCTTACATAACACACCCTTCGAGTCCAGCTAATGGAGAGAAAGTAGAATCCTGTGGTGAGCCAGGGCACAGGAGGAGCTCGGAAGGCATGAGCTTTGCTTTGCGCTTCTTTCTCAAGGGTTAGGCCCCCAGGAGGTTTCTACTGCACTGCTTTTACAGACCCAGGATCCAAGAAAGACAAGAGGAAAGTAGCAGCCCTCCCAGATTACAATGGCACAGCCCTGGGTTTTCACAAGTTGGTAAAAACAGACAGCTCCTGACTGCACACTGGTCCTGAATCCAGAATCCCACATGCTAAGTCTTCACCAATTGCCCCTCCCCAGGGGAGACCAAGAAGCCCAGTCTGGTAGCAGTTAAAGGTTGGGTTTATTCTCTGATTTCTCCACTTCCACCGCCAGAAGCCTGGCTCCCCTTGTTGACCTGCTGGCCCTGGGGAACCGCAGGTAGGTCAACTCTTCACACATTCCTGGGAGCTGCCCTCACCTCTCCTCCTGAGTTTTCACAATATTTGTTACACGGGGCTGTTCTTTATGGTGATAAAAGATCATCCCATGACTAAAATACTGAGCTGCAATTATGAAAATTGCCAAGGGGATGATCCAAAGATCACACTCCGCCTTTCCCTGAAGATGTCAGGCACTGTGTCACTCTCGGGTGTCCTGATTACAAGGGGAGGAGGCAGATGACAGAGCGATCACCTTCCCCCCTCCCACTTAGGGATGCAGCCAGTACGGGGCCTTGGCCTCTCCACCACAGCCATGACCACAGCCACGGTGACAGCCACGCCAGCACAGTCCTCACAAGTCCCAGGACAGACACAAGCATCGCCCCCACCAAACTTGCAGCCCCACAGGCCTCCCCCGGCCAGCTCCTCTGCCCTTTATCTTCAGTTCTAAAGCAGCGCCAGGTTTTCTCGTCAGCCACCGCCATGTCTCCAAATGGCTTTTCAGTGTCAGGCCCATCAGGAAATTAACTCATCCTGCAGTGGCAGCTGCTAATTTTTTCCCCTTCCATGTCAGACGGATCGCCCGCTGAAGTTAATCATGAATCACTAATCCCGGTTAGAAGGTGCTTCCGAAACATGTAACTGCCACCCGAGCTAACTTTTTTCTCCACGCAAAATGATATGACCCTAGATGAGTTGAAAACGAATTGTATTCTCCAACGTGATGGAACAGGAGGAGGCTGCTTAAGTGAGCTGTGCACACTCTAAAATTATGAGCTGATATTAAACAGTAAGAAAATGACAGCGTGCAGCTCGTTTCAGTTTGCTAAATGACCTTTCTTGCTCCCTAATTCCCTTCCTAAACCAACACCAGATTATTTATTTATTTTTGTGGAGGTACTGGGGTTTGAACTCAGGGCCAGGCAGGTGCTTTACCACTTGAGCCACTCCACCAGCTGCTGGGTTGGAATTCTAAGCTGACTCCCCTCAGTCTCTGCCTCTGCCATTGCTTCATCTTTACGTCTGGGAAGGCCAGTGGACAGAACTGGGAAAAGCAGATGCTGTGTGGCCTCAGGGCTTCCTAGGTGCTGGGCTAGTGGGGAGCAGGCTCTCTACCAAGCGGTGGAGGGTGGGCTCCCTGGCCCTAATGCAGTCTCAGCTGTGTTCCAGGATGTCGTGAGCAAAGGCCTAAACGGAGGCTGCTTACCCTTCAACTTCTAGGACTTTGACAAAGTTTCTCTGCTTGACCAAACTTCAGTCTGAAAGCCCTCATAGGTCTACTTGGGAACTCCTTGGTAAGAATTTTTAGCAAGAATCTTGCTAAGCCATATGGCCAGAGTCCCCAACCTCCATATTTGATTGCTAGAAATCTAATTGAGTTCTTCCCCCACCCCCAGGAATCCTGTTAGGTCACTTTAGCAGGAGCCACCAACCCTTGGTGTTTCCTTAGTCGTTTTCCATCCACTTCTTCCTTCGCTATGACTGTCCATTTCTCTGATTTCAGAATTGAGCCCAGTTCTGTTCTGAGGTCTCTTCTCCATTGCAAGTATCTTGAATTAAATCTGCTTTTACCACTAGTCTGTGTTTAGTTCTGGTGTTTCTCTGACACTTTGGAGCCTCCGTCTATGGATTTGAGCTGGTGTCAGGAAATTTCCAGTGCTACACTGGTGTCATTTTTCAGAGCAAATGAAGATGCAAAAGAACCATTCCATGCCTCAGGTGGGGCAGGCTTGCTTGTTTGCTTTGTGGTGGTGAATGCTTAGCCAGCACGTTCCTGCCCTCCCTGCAACTCCCCAGGGAGGGATGAGACCTCCCACAAAGACACCTGCTTGAGTCACAGCACTGCACTAAAGCGACCTTGCGTGGCTAGGTCTGGAAATGTCTACCCTCACTTTGTGGCTCTCCAACAGCAAGCCCTGACCAGCTTTTTTCATGGAAGTTGAAATCTAAACCATTTCTATCTGCTAACTTGGAAAGCCAGTCTTGCTTGCATGCAGACATCCTTGGAGCTTATCATTTAATTGCTTGTAGCTTAATATAAATGTGGCCTTTTTGAATTAGTCTCCAAGTAAATATTTCCTTGGTTTTGCTTTTTTCAGTTCTTTAGAAGTTATCCTATTCTCTAGCAAAACCTCAAGGAAAGCTATAGGCCTGCCATGTCATCTTCACTGACAATCCATCCATGCTGCAATGAATGTCCCTTTCTGGCCGGCCACACCTCAGTATTCTGAGGCACACATTTGTGTATTGCTTCTTACACTCCCTTACATTCCAATGTAAGGGAGTATAATGAGAGAAAGAGAGGTCACATTAACCTAGCTCTATAGGTAATTACAGGATACACTAGCTTGGTGAGGCCTTTGCAGTCCTTTGAGCCTAGAAACACCTTCTGTACAATTTTTTTTTTATGCAAAGGCCTGCTCTTTTCATTGTGCATACAACGTGATTGCTGGTTTGACACTGCAGGCTACACTGGTTTTATGAAGGATTAAATGCCACCTGAGACATATTTATCCTAAATAAATCACAAACGGTAAACTACAGCATGTCAGTGTCAACACCCTGGACTGCAGTGGAAAGGTTAGCCATACAGGACTTGGCGCGGTCAGGAATTAGCATCGAGCTGCAGGCCCGGGGCTGCCGCCAACAGGAGAACTGATCAAGAAGAAATATTTCCACTGAAAACAACCCCCACCCCCGCCTTTTTTTTTTTTTTAACATGTATGAGAAGCCTGGAGAGGGCCATCACTTTGTAAAGGTCACCTCTATCCTGATAACAAACGGGAGCTGATCCTGTCACTGTTTGCCGAGTAGCCCTGCCATTTTTAGGAAACATGAGCTACTCACACACAGCTAATTATGAATCTCAATGTCAAACCGGAAGTTTTACATTTATTTATTTATTTATTTGCTTTCTTGGAGGGGAGGCTGCATATAGGGAGGTAGCTCTGGAATGGACAGAACTCAAAGCTGAGAGAGGAGGACAGGAAGGGAGTGATCAGTTCACTTCCTGGTGGCACTCACGCCTGCCTGTTGCCTCAGGAGATTTTAAATGGAACTTGCACTGACACAAAGAAAGGACCATCTTCCTCTGCTCTTACAATTCCTAGATACCAACCATGATAGAATGTTATCATCACCAGAGTGAGCCTGGGCCACTTGCCAAACATTTATAAAACAGCATCAGGCTGCAGGAGGCGTCTGTTAGGACCTGAGTGATCTGCAGGGGTGGAGGACGGGGAGAAACCATCAAGGCAGATGTGGCCTCAGCTGTCATCACGGCTGCCCACTGGCCAGCCGGCTACTCAGTAATGTTAAAACATCATCTTTCAATGCTATAATTTTATTCCAAAGACAACAGAAACAGAACAAAAACAGTTTTTGCCTTTGAGGGAGGGGATTATTTTACAATTTGAAAAAGAATGAAGAACAATCGTATCAAGAAACAAATTACTGGAACACAAACTTGCATCCAGCAGTGGCAGTGAATCCACAACTGAATACAGACAATGCTGGGTGGGTGAGGGCTACAGGGCATGGGTTCCATTTGTTAATGTTTAATGTCAGACTTTTCATACTGACATAATCACAAATGAATCCTGTAAAAGTGAGAGCGAGATGAACAAATGTTTGTTGTAAAAAGCAAAATATTGATATGGATGATATTTTCCAGGGTGTACATTTCATGAATAGACCTTATGGTATGAAACTAAATCAAACTTAGAATCATCAGTTGTCTTCACCAAGGTGTATTTTCACTGAATGTAAACATTGAGGCCTTTCTAACCACAGGCGTAAGATTCTTTTATGAAGAATGCAACCAGAGCGGTGGACATGCCTAAAATGTTTGAAGAGGAGAAATTTATGCATAAAATGAACCAACAGGCTTCCTTTGGTCTGGGGTACCATTATCCTAAAATTAAAAGGAAAAAAAGAATGGGTGGACTGTGTGAGGATATAATCATTGCAGCTGCAATTTTTAACCAAACGCAGAAGACGCTGACAGAGCTGCATGCTCTGCAGCCGGAGCAGACAGTCTGAGACCTCTGGAGACATTTCTGACTTCCCATCACAGGACACCACCTTTGACTTGACGAGTAAAGCAGGAAACACTTGTGGGAGGAAAGTTGGGGAAAGTGGCTTCTTAGTGCACTGGCAAGATGGGGAAGGCCAAGAGCAAAGGGCCCAGTGATGGGTTTGACAGCACAGGGTCCCAACCTGCCCATCCGTCTTACAGCCCTGGGCAACCTACTCTTTGGGCCCAGCTCTGTGCCCTCTGTGTGAGCCTTTTTGGTGGCTGGTGTTACACAGACCAGGAGGGCATGTTCGGCACTCCTCTGCAGTCACTGTTTGGAAGCTTTACAAATACAGTTGAGGAAGCCCAGTGCGCAGGCTGTGCCTCAAGCTTCTTGGAGTTCACTGCTTTCTCTTTGGCTCTGGATCACTGTCGCTGTCGGGGAGCGGTCACGCTGGGTGTAAATGACCATGCTTGCCAATTGTTCTGCACCATCCGGGGCCACAGCCTCAGCACTGAGAGCAGCCTCCGCCTGCAGGATCTCCTGGGGGCTCGCTGTCTCGATCACTGTGTGGGAGTACAAGCCTGCATCCTCCTGCTCTGCCGAGGGCAACTCTGTCACAATGTAGTGCGTTGCGCCCTCAGGAAAGTTGCTGCCGGACTCCCGGACCATGGCTTGGACTAGCTCATCTGTCACAATGATCTGAGAGATTTCCCCTTCTGATTCCATCAGGTCCACGTGCTCGGCTGGCACCCGCAGGCCGTGGGCCTCAGCCTCCTGCATGATGAACTGGGAACCTTCCCCGGCCACCATGTGGACAGCACCCTCCTCATTCACGATGACCTGGGTGACACCATCCTTGATCAGCTGGCCGGCCGCAGTTGTGTCACACACTGCAAACTGGAGGACTCCCTGGACCATCTTCTTGAAAGCCACCTGGGCTCGCTCCTGAGATGTGATGATGGTTGAGGGCCGGACGACCTGGGTCAGCACTTCCATGGCTGCTGGACTCTCCTGGGTGTCCTGGAACGTCTGGATCTCTGGGGTCTCGGGGTGGGCAGCACCATGGGATGTCTCCTGACTGGGCAGCTGGATCAGCATGTCCTTATGGCTGGACCTGCCCTTCTCCTCGTGCCCAGCCCTGTTCTCCACCCCTCCTAACTCAGTGACAGCACACAGCAGCGCATCTAGGGCTGAAGAGGCATCGGGAGGAGGGAATCCAGCCTCAGAGAGATTTAAAATCTCCTGCTTGGTCACCTGCTGTATCACAGCACCACTAGGACCAAGGGACTCATCCACACCATGACCTTCCACTGAGCCCCTGACAACAACAACTTGAGTGGATCCGTCAGCCAGCTGCTCGGGGAGGATGGGCCCAGGCAGTGCGCCGCTCACATGCGCCCCATTCTGACTTGTGGCAATGACTTGTCCATCTTCTGTGATGTGTACCACCCTGGCCACTTGGCCAGCCATTGCCAGAGTCTGCAGCGTGGCCGCAGCGGTCTCCTCCACAGAGGCATCCAGGGCAAACTCGCCATCATAGCCCTGGATGATGATGACCTGCTGGACCTGCTCGGGGGGTGGGGCCTGCCTCTTGCTGCTCCTCAGGGACCTCTCTTTGATGGGAGACTCCTCTGCCAGAGTGGCTGCAGTGAAGGGGCTGTCTGTCTCCACGAAGGTGGCACCTTGTCCCTTCAGACGGCACTCGTAGGACTTGGACACAATGCCTATGGGAGACAGGGACCAGTTAGAGCCTAGAAAAAGAATTTTGATGTTTAAAAGACAGCTCTTCTGCAGACACTTTACAGCCTCACCAGAAACACCATGATCCACTAATGCCAAGGTGCCAGCATATCTACTACGCTGGAAGTGTCCTGCTGGTGGCTCACTCATGTGGTTTTACAGGTGTCTTAAGGGTTCAAGAATACATATGGCAGCTGTGTGTTTGGTAGTGTTTGCCCACTCTCCTGTGCAATTTTTCCAGATCTGACTCTATCAGGAAGGTTTGCTGTTCTGGTTCCTGGGGAAGAGCATGGTCAGCTTGCTCCTCACCCTCACCTACAACAGCAACTCATGGAAAGTCAGCAGCAGGGTCTTAGAATCCACAGGAACATCTTTTCTCAATGTCCAAATGTTATGTACAGTGAATTTGTTTAGTAAACAGGAAGAATGAGAGCCCTACAGATTAAATTTAAGAAACAAATCGCTGATAAACACAGCTGTAAGCAGCAAATGGTCACCGACCATCTACTTCATGTCAGGCACCAAACCTAGGGGGACAACAGGAGTAGCCACTGTGAGTTCGTGTGGGCTGGGCACCACGCCTGGCACTTTGTTGGGTCCTGGGCACATAAACATGACCTGAGCCTGTACATCCAGAGATCTGGAAGGGGTCTCCTGGTAGAGGCCCGAGGGGCACGTTCTAGGAGCTCAGGTCTCAGTTTGCCGCGTCCATGGCCAGTGCAGCATGGTGCCCAGCACAGAGCACACACTCAACTAGGATGTGTCTCTGGAGTGGCTCACAAACCAAGGAAGGTGATGAGCACAGTCAGAGACAAAGGGGCTACTCACTTAGGTTGTAGGACAGAATGTTCAGGGAAACATTTAACAAAGAAAGAACATTTGGTGCTGTCTTGAGGGACAGGGAGCCACTCACAGAAATACAAAGCATGGGGCTCTTGGCCTGGACACCCTCTGTGGTGGCCAACCAACCAGGCTTTTGGTTCTGAAACTACCAGACAGCTGACTCAGGTCAGGCTGCTCAGTGCCTTGCGTACCCTGTGCTGTGCAGAGAAGAAACTGCTGAATGCTTTTTAGCAGAAAAACTGTAGAATTGTAACAGAGGGTACAAAATTTATGATCTTCATGCCAGCCCTGAATTCCTTTTAGTGAAAATACTGAGACTCTTCAGAAAATACCAAGATACAACTCTTGGGATGAGGGCAGAGGCATTAAGAGGAAATGGTTAAGCTGCTCCGAGAGACAAGGCGGGGAGGGAAGGAGGCCCAGGGGTACACTGAGCCCTGGCTGTCTCCTGGCCAGGGGCCATGACAAGTCAGAACAGTGGGTGTGGGCTCCCGCCTGGCCACCCACCCAGGTGCCCCAGGAAGCAGGTATGGGGTTCCTTACAGGCCTGGGCTGCTACAGTGCAAGAGCTTCAAACCTTTCTTCAGACCTGTGCTGGGAAGTGAGCTGTGAGCTGCACCGCAGCAGCAAGGTATAGAGGGGAAGGAGGCCAGAGAGGAGGAGTGGGCTGGGCTGCAAACCTGCAGCGAATGGACATAGGGTTGTATGTGCACACTTCCCCAAGGTTATCTGAACTGCTCTGTAACTTCACACAGTAAAACATGACTGGACATTTTCAGTAAAAGAGACTGACTCCATTTAAGAGTTCCTGTTTTCTTCTCAAAATCCCAGCTCTCCGTCAGCTGTTTTACTGTTGCCTCCTCCCTCTCAAGAGAATGATCTTACAAGATTTATATTCAACATAGCAAGTTATCAACAGCAACTGAATTTCTGAGATATTCCACTTTACTCTCTGACTGTGGGTCAGTTACAGACAGTGTACTTTATTTATCCTTACCAAGGTGGGGCTTTTAAGAATTGTTAGTGATTATTGCTGGCACCCCTTAAAGACAACAATTTTGCTTACCACATTGGTGTTGTTGTGTAAGAAAGCATTTCTTCTAACACTGAGTTAATCCTGAGCTCAGACTCCAGACAAGGCCTGTCCTCCAGCAGGGACAGCACGTCAGGCAGATGGCAGAAGCTGCTAATAGTATCTACCACAAGGACACGTCCAGGCTCATCCCCAGACTATAGGACAAGGATCTTGGATTTGGAAGTATTAATTAACTGTTAAGTACTATCTTTTATTCTTTCTTGGAGAACTCTCTTCAGTGTGAATCTTAGAAAGGTTATAGACTCACAGAATCTTTTAATTTTTTGGCAGTATGGGGTTTGCACATACTTGCCTACCACTGGAGCCACACCCCCCAGTCCTTTCTACTTTAGTTATTTTTCTGATGGGTTCTTGTGCTTTTTGCCCAGGGCAGGCACAGGACCTTGATCCTCCTACTTATGCTTCCTGAGTAGTTGGGATTAGAGGCATGCATCTCCATGTCCAGCTTGGTCTTTGATTTAGGATGTTTGCTAACATTCTACCTGGGACTGCCTTACATCGTGATCTTCCTACCTCTGCCTCCAAGTAGTTGGGATTACAGGTGTGAGGCACTGTGGCCAGCCAGAGTCATGGAATCTTAGATCAAGAAAAGACTGAGGGATCAGTGGTCAACTAGATTAGTTCCATGCCCAGACGCCCCTCCTGCACACTGGACTGAGCCAGGCAGAGGGGACTGCTATCTTAAGGCCAACTAGCCCTTCCTGGAGAAGGGTGTACAAAATCCATGAGTCTAGTTAAAAGAATTCTCTACTTAGGGTGACCCTCACTTTCTTCCACCGACTCCCCTAGCAGGAATGAGGAACTCTGAGTGCCACTAAGTTAGGCTCCCAGCAAGACAAGGTGCACTTACTAAACATGGTGGAGACTGCAGGGCAGCAGGCACTGGTTCACATGCTTTAGTTCTCCTGCCCGAAGTCTTATACTTGTGAGAGTCTGAAGGGCTTGGTCTGGGAACCCACCTGCGGGACACAGCTCCTTCAGAGCCTGGGCCTCCCCTTCTCCTACTTTACAAAAGAGAAATAGTCCTTCACCTTTCCTGGACAGTGTCCAGCCCCAGGAAAACCCGAGTTTGAAAGATAAGGGTGAGGCTGGTGAAAGTGTATGGATCCTGAAAAGAAAGAACAGAAAGAAAGAGCGGAATTTTGGCCTGTGTACTTTAACCTGATCTCATGTTACTTCTGATATTTAATCTTCCCCCAATTCCCTCTCCTCTGAGGGTCAGAAGGAGTTGTCTACAAGCAGAGGGCCAGCACAGGAGGAGCCTCACAGAGATGCACAGTCTTTACTTCATTCTTGCTGGGTTTGTGCCAGGCCTGGGTTCCTGGCCAATCTGCCACCCACTAGGTCCTCCAACCCTCTGTCTCCTGGGCTTGACAATTTCTCTTCTGGGGCACGTACAACTTTCCCCCCAGTTCCTACTTTTACCCCAGGATGCAATACTCTGCCTGCTTTCTTTATTCTTGGATTTGTTTCTGTCCATTCTTTTAATTTCAAGGTCATTCTTTGTCTAGTTCAGTATTTTTAAGATAATAATAAAAAAAATGGAAATGAGGACACAAAAAGAGGAGGTAGCATTCAAAGTGTTCCCCTCCTCCACTAATTACAAAAAAGGACATAGTGCCATTACTTTAAAAAACAGAAAGCAGGGCAATTGGGAAAGAGAGAGCAATGTTCTACTCTTAGGTAGTCTTCAAAAGAAATGATACTTGCTCAAGTCTAAGCAATTCTGTTCTTCACTGGGCAACTGAACAGAAAATCTTCTGGGTACAGAATGAGCTTTTGAATCCCTTATAGCACTGATAATCATGCATTGTGAACGACTTGCTGAACTTATTTGAATCCAGAGGTGGGTTAAGCCACTTCCAGACCATTAAAACAAACTATGTAGGTAAATACTGCTGTCAGCAGGGGCTGTGATGAAGCCTGACACCACAGACATCTTAACCTCCGGCAGCACGGCCCAGCTAGTCCATCACAGTTCATAAATGTGAGTGCAGGTCCATCTTTTGATTCAGCAATTTAATAACTTCAAGTGCTGTCAGTACTGCTTTGAAAAATAGCACCTATAAAATGTAACAGCCTCAATCAGATTGAAAAAGATTCACCCACTGAAGATTCTTCCATTTCAACCATAATGAATTAATGTGGAGCTATGTAGAAGTTCAAGTGTCATTTAAACGAATGTGAATCTCTACTGTAACTTTAAATTCCAAGTGGGCTGTGACCAAGAATTTACTGGGCACACTGATGACAGTTTTTGAGCTCTCTTTAGCAAATATGGCCAGGGAAACTCATCAGTGCAAATGGCCAGTGGGCACGGCATTGAAGGACAGGGCTGCTGTACAGGCTGGACCCTTGACCGCTGGCCTAGCCATTGTTGTAACTTGGAAGCACAGACCTTTAACAGACCATGGGTGCCTGGCATAGCATCTGTGCTGCATCTTACGTTTTTCAAAGACAACATCAGGTAATAACAGTAGCTAATCAGTGTGCCTAAATTCAGTCTTTTCAGATCTCCTTCCAACAGGCCAATATGGAGCCTGGGTAGAAAGTGCCAATGGCATTAAAATGCAGGCTGGCACCTGTTTTGGGGTGCAGCTTACGGTCATTTGCTTCCACACTACCTCCCTTCTCATGGTTAGATGCGTTAAAGTTTGAGCTCAGTTGAAATGAACGGGGTTGCTGGTGTTTAGGGGTCTGTTTTAGGGAGGTGATTTAGGATTAGCCTCCCTCCTCCAGCATGCTGAGATGAAGCTGCAGCCCCCTTTGGCTGAACAGCCCCAGGGGAGGGACAGAGCTCCGCTCAGGAGGGGGAAGGGCAAGGTGGAGACTTGTACCCTCAAACCTTGCAGAGGCCTCGGGCTCCCTCTCTGAGGTGCTGCTAGGAAGCTAGAGGGCTGAGCACCTGGCTTCCTTTGTGTATGCACTGTTCTTTGGTTACTGTCATCGTTTTTTTCCCACAGAATAAATACCTTATGCTTTTGTTAAGCTTACATTTAATTAAAATGTACAGAATTTGTGCAGTAAACTCGAATGAAACAAATA